ATTTGCGGGATGCTGCTGTGTCGAACTCGGAGACCACCGGGGTGTGTGCGTTACGTCTGTGTGGTGTGGCGTGTGTCTGGCGTGTGTATGTGTATGGGCGTGGAAAGTTATAACTACAGTTGTGTGCGCCAGCTGGTGCGCGCGTGTTGCTCGTGAGAGAGAAGGAGGCCCCGTGCCGCGTGCTTTATGAAAACGAACCAAAACGCCTCCAAAAATCACAGTCCCGCCGAAGATATTTTTCTCGTTCCCATAACAGCGGTACTCAAATCTTCCTGTCAAATATTCGCACGCAAATGTTTGGAAACATTTGAAGATTTNGTGAAAATTTTATTCGCACGCAAATGTTTGGAAACATTCGAAGATTTTTTCCAAAGATTTGGTGACCACATGGGTAAGAGTCGGGAAAATATTTATTGAAACGCTTTTTTTGCGGCGGAATTTCAATTTTTTTTTGAGATTGTGCACAACGGATGCACACAGCAACCGCTGGCACCGAGGAGTGCACAGCATGGAGAGCCTAGTAGCAGCAGTCACACGCAATAGCTGGCAGAGAACCTCTGAACCCGTATGCTATCCAGAGAGGTATAAGGGGAAGTGGCGGCTACGGCTCAATTTCACAAGCCGGAAAGGAGGCAGGGTAACGAGGAAGCACGGCCCCTTGTGCAAGACAGAGCAGGAAGCGTTTGGGGGCAGCCTTGCCTTCAGGTACAGCTGGGAGGGCAGCCAACGTGGTCAGCCCTGCGATGTCAGCAAGGATAATCTAGTCCCACCTGTTGCAGCGGGTACTACGCTTCCAGCAGGCAAGTCGTGAACTGCGCAGTTGTACACTTGTACAAACACGATGTGGACATGATCATGCAATTTTGTTTTTTTTGTTTTTTTCTGGGGTCGGAGCAACGGCAGCACACGTGACACCGTGCCAGCAACTGCTGCTGTACCTACTGCACGCGGCCAGTCATGCCGCAGGCTGGACTGACGTCGAGCATGTTCTTTTCGGGACTTGAAGTTGGTGGCACTCTTACAAAAGAGATGGCGGTGTATGTTGATTTGTACACGACCACATTTTTTGTGAGATGTGGTCGTCAGCCGGGATTTTTGAATTTTCGACGGCATGCTTCGTACGCACAAGTGTAATCGCCCAACGTGATATCCACGTCCACATGAGTTGCCTTCATTACTCGTCTGTTGTTCTGGTACTAGAGACGCCTACAGCAGTACGCACAACATGTTTTGCTACAGTATGGTACCTGTACACCCCGATGTGTTTGCTGCAACGATGTGCTGCCGTATATGACACAAGATAACACACCCCCCCTGGACGGATTTTGAAAGCTCGATTCATCACCAGCAGAACGAGTCGCAGCGCCGAAAACGGCGGTGTTGAAGCCGTCTTGTCGAGAGCTCTCCGGAAACGTATCGTGTCGTTCATGCATCCTCTTCGTCGTGGAGTAATCGAGCTGTGGAAATCGACCCAGGGGGTGTGTTATCATGTGTCGTACTTCGTTTTGAAAGTTAAACTCTGCATGAAAATGCGCCGATGTCGTCACACTTTCGCGAAAGGTTGACCGGTTGTTGCACCTCTGCACATCACGTACT